GCGCCCCGACGCGTCGCGGCACAGTCGCAACTTTGGAAGGCTCCCCTAACAACATATTGTCCAACAGAAGGAAGATAATTATCTGAGGAAGGCTCTGATCCACATTTTTTTTTCTCTCTCTATATCTCTCTATCTCTCTCTTTTTTTTTTTTGGGGGGGGGGGCGGGGATTCTCGATCTGAATACTAGAAGTTCATGAGCAACAAGGCCCTGTTATCATTCCTCAAATTTAGGGTTTGAAATTTGGGGTGGACTGGAGTCATGGTTAAAATATAATAAAGATTGCATCATTGTACAATTATTTCATGGACGTTACAAAACCAGACTCGGCCAAACTTTCTGGCAAACTTTCCCTGTACTGATTGCTAACCGGTGGGGGTATCTTAGCCAGCACGGTGATTAACCGATTACAACACCACGATATGACACGCTATCCTTGATGAGCAATAACCGCCGTCATAAGAGATAAAGTTGAGTTCTGGGGAGTGTTTCACAAAGATCCTTAGTTGAACTTACCTCGAAGTTGGACTCAACAAAAGCCATTAGCTTCTTTGAAAATAGTTTGTAAAAGTTATTTCAAAAGGCATAAAATGTTGATTCAAACCATTCATATTTTCTATTATCAAGGAGATTTTATGTTCTGGGTGTGGAATTGATGAAAAATCTAAAAAAAAACATGCATTTTTGCTTTTGAATATATTCATTATAAGGCTACAAATGGCTCTCCATAATACCGGTATTTAAGTCCAACTTAGAATCTTTGTGAAACACCCTCCTGGTCATGCAATAACACAGCGAAAGAAACTTGGCTAGAAGCAACTGGGAATGGTGGATCATGAAGTGCATTAATATAGATGTGTATCGTGAGAAGGCGCGATAGATCAGTTGGTAGTGCAGTGGTCTCGTATTCCGGCGACCCGGGTTCAAAACCAAGGCGATGTGCTGGTGCCCTTTGGTAAGGCATTACTCCTCATCACAAGGTCCCTCGGAGAGGACCTAAAGCAATCGGTCCTCTGGTTGCTTACTAACAAGCATTTATGCTTTCTTAGCAGTCAGGTAAAATAACCGCCACACACACTTCTATGAAAATATATCATTACAACTATTACAATGAAAATCATGAAAGATACTGTTGATGTATTAAAAACTATTATGATCCCATTAAATCTAATTTTAAAAGCAGCCTCCCAAACTTTAAAATAATCATTCATGTGAACCCACTAATCACTCATACTGTGATATCTTAATTAAACTTGTATGTGCCGTGACTCACAGCTTTGAAAACAGCTAAAAACTCTCTTTTATGTTCTCTTTCCCACGAAATAGAAACAATTGGAAGAGAGTTTTTCTAACCACTGTTTTGGCTTCTGTGCCAAATTTCTCACTATTTTCAACAATCTCTGAAACTTTTGTTTTCTTTGAAGGAAAAGCAGCAGGCCTATGAGGATGCTTGAAAATCCAACAGATGTTTGTTACATATTTTCCACGTTCTCTCGGCTTGATCTAATTAACCAATAATCATCAAATTGTACCCAAAATAGCATCCTACACAAACTGCTCCTGCATGTATACAAAAATAGATGCTACAATTAACTACACATTTTGGCAATATTCATATCTAGTTTGACTGTTCAACATGCATGCTGCAATATGAATTTTCCATGTTTCCTTATTGAGCAGCAAAAAATACATAATTCAAGTGGATCGTGAAGGCGTGAGGATTTGTATGGTGAGCAAATTGGTCATATAAAATAAGAGAAAACTATATAACACCTACAAACGATGCAATATCGGCCTTCCTCTCATTTCTGTATGTATTTATGTACAATTAAATCGTTTGTCATGTCGCTGGCATTGTTATTGGTTTTTATATGTAAAGTGATCATGAAGTAAAATAAACATCAAACAAAGATCGGTCTAGCCCATGTTCATTTGACCCTTACCCGTGTCTCTACATGCAGAGGCAAGTATGCCGACATGTACTGAAGTAGAAAAATGAATATCTATTGGAAAAGGTGCTAGATAGAAGTTAGTATATTACTATCATGATTTATATGTATATTTGATCTCATTTTTATTATTATATATGCATGATTTATTGAAAAAAGAACATATTTATCATTTGTGTGTTCACTATAAGTTTTGGTTGGTAATATGTAGACAGACAATGGTGCGCTTAGCATCGACCGTATTAAGCGCCTAATAAATGTTGTGCATTGTTATTATTTATTATGATTTATGAAGAACTAGTTAAAGCAGCCATCAAGAATCATGTCATGATTATTATGCTTGATGAGGGAACCAGGAGAGCGATAGAGCTAACGTTTTTCTGGCGCTCAACACCCAATCTACGTTTCATTCTAATGACTAACAACGTTTGGATATTGTCAGCGAATAGGAAACAAACCGAGATAAACACAACATCAATCACCTAAATCCACTTCTAATATATGTGACATTGAATGGGGGTGATTCACACGTCGCCAAATCCGCCCTAAGCTCCAGTAGAAACGGGGCTTTAAAGGAGACGCTTCTAGCCTGCACTGGGCTGATATAAATAGAAGAAAATCTGGCTTTTTCTTGGGGTTGCTTAAAGCTTCCGGAACTACTTCCTTTCATTAAGAGTGTGGCTTTCTGCATATAATTGTCAAAATCAGGTATGCTGCTTGGGTATGCATACTAATATATATATTTGCTTTCATGATGTACTGCATCAAATGAAACTTTGTTATCTGTTAGAGAATTTTTACAGTACATACAGTATCTTTACCAATCCAGACACAAACACGATGTAAACGTGACAAAATTCTCTAATAACTACTGAAAAGGGAACATCTTGTTAAAGTTTATGTACTGTACATTGAACATGTGACATATTCAGTGATATTGTAACCAATTTTTATCCCACAATTTTCATATAAACTTTTCAGGGTTGGTTCTATATTCCAAGACTCACTTTTAGAGAGGGACTTTAAGAGGGACTTTAGTAGAGGCGTAGGTCGCAGTCCTTTTGCAAGACAATAATCTGCATTTGCCACACTCTACCCAGGTGAGGTAAATGTATAAATGAGCAGTGGTAATAAAGAATGAACTGGATTAATGCCCAAGCACCTCATTAGGGGGGCAAAACTAGAGTTGTAGCAATAATTCATGGGCTTATATATATATATATATATATATATATATGATTTAAAAGAAAAAGTGCCCTCCCCTATAACAAAATAACGGATATGCCCCTTTGAGTACTTAAAGACTAAAGGAGTGAAGAAGAAATAATATTTCATTAAAAATAAAATCAGAAAGCAAATATTAAAGATGAAAATGTTTAGCTGCCAACCATTCCTATTTTGGAGGAATGATTCCTACTTTTTGGCCCTCAAAAACTAATATTATGAAGCATAGATTCCCCCCTTCCGGAAAACTACTGTGTAAATGTATAAAAAATGACTGTATTCCAAATGTTGCCTTGAAGGATTCCTAATTTTTGCTTTGAAAGGTCGGCAGGTATGAAAATGGTGCAGCAAAAGAGTAAAAGAACTAGTAGTACGAGAAGTCAAAGTCGTAGTAGAAGTCAGTCATATACTTGGCTCGTTTGTGACGAAAAAGCCGACTTTTCTGAACGTTTCACGATCTGTGACTCTTGAATGACCTTAAAGTTCCATTCATAGAACAGGGGGTTGGCAGCCAACTGGACGCGTTCCTAAAGCAACAAAAATAACCTTTGGCAGGGTATTGCGGAAAAAAATTCAAAGCATTCGCTGCGCAACGATTGTTTCCGATTAGTGACGATCACCTGGTTAAAAAAGTTGATATCACTTTGGAGTGAGCCAAGAAAGAGAAGGAGGAGGAGAGGAAGGAGAGGAGGTACACATACTAGGACTAGACAGAGAGGGAGAGAGAGAGAGAGAGAGAGAGAGAGAGAGGGGGAGGGAGAGAGAGAGAGAATAGGGGGAGAGAGAGAGAGAGAATAGGAGGACAGAGAGAAGGAGAGAGAGAGAGAGATGAGAGGATACAGAGGAAGGGGCAAAACGAGGTAGGAGAGCGATAGAGTCTCCACTATTTCACCTGCCATCTTTAATAGGCACATTAACCCCTCCCCTCCCGCCCTTCCCCAGTAATTTATCTTGCTTGTCAATTAGTTGTTGACACTCAATTTTTTTTGTTACTCTAAAAAAATGTTGATAATTTTTTTTTCCTATATGTTCCATAGGAGGATAATCTGTAATTCTCAAGTGTTAAACTTGAAGTTTTCACATTTTACCCCAAATTTCTATAAATTTGGAGCCAAAACTCACAAGTAGTTCTCTAAATAAATTAGTCTGTTTTCGTTTCCACTATTCCTTATACAGCCGTTCATCCCGCCATCGAGTTTAAAACTGTTAACTAGAACAATGAGGGAACGCATGCCAAGGACAGGTGGAAGCTCTGAACAGATCACCTGGCCATGTTCGCACCAAAATGCAGTTATATTTGAGACAAAGCCGTTACACCGGTACAAGGGTGTCATGTGGGATTGGGATAGGGAGGGGCATTCCTTTATCAAAATGTTACGTTGGCAAGTTAAATTCAAGCTAGGTCGACAAAGAAGTTGAGGGGAATTCGTTGTGGAGTTGTTGGTAGGTTTGAGAGCCACCTGTACGGTGCAGCAACTTGTCTATTGAGATCATTCAGTACATCAATGCTCTTCACAAACAGGTTGGATCTACAGGTGCCAATAACGTGACACATCCACTATCTTCCTCACATTTTACATTCCACCAAGCTCGCTCTCCATCTCTCTCTTTCTCCCTTCCTCCTTCCCTTGCTCTCCATCTTTTCCCCCTTTTGATCTCCCACTCTCTGATTTCTTCTCCTCCTTCTCCCTCTCACTTTCTTTCCCTTTACCCTCCCTCCCTCCATCCTCCTCCCTCTCTCTCTCTCTTTCTCCTCCCCCATCTATCCCTCTCTCCCTCTCTCTCTTTGGTCTCTACAAACTATTTTGAGTTTCTCTATCGCACTCACCCTGTCTGCCGAGTACATGTGAGTTGAGAAGCTTGGCATAATCTGATGCGTACCACACCTTGAGTTCTGTGTGGGGAGAAATTGGCTGAAAAGAAATGAAAAGTAATAATCATTATAATTATTAATATTTATTCGGCAAAAACAAAGAAAATCATTGAATACAAAAACAAGAGTACATTTGGAAAAGAGTGGCATGGATGCCGGGAAAAGAAAAAAGATTAAAACATTTATTACATTTTTAGAGAAGTAAAGAGATGAAAAAAGGAAAGGAAACAAGAAGAGTGGGAGAAAGAACACAGGAGAGAGTGAAAGTGTGTGTGTGTGTGTGTGTGTGTGTGTTTGTGTGTGTGAGAGAGAGAGAGAAGATAAGACAGCAATTAGAAAAAGTCAGACTATCATTAAAAATAGAAAGAATGTTTTTTTTTAAATACCACTTTGAGATAAAGGAAAAGAAAGGAAGAAAAAGAAGAAGAAACAACAAAATAAAGTGAAATACATAGATATAAAGATAGAGAAATTAAAAAAAGAATAAATAGAGAAGAAACAAAAATAGCAAACAAAGAAAAAAACATCGCAAATAATTTCAATGATACACCAATTGAATTGTATCCCTTTTAGAGGATGATTTCAAGTAACATGTATTACCCCCCCCAAAAAAACACATCAAAAACAAAAACAAAAACAAAAACAAAACATGGAAATCTAAATATCTCAAGTAAAGAGAAACTCAAGTATCGAGACTGCTCTGTATTCTGTCATTTTTCACACAAGCACAAAATATATGTAGGTGTTTATTTTGAAACTTAAATAGCTGACATTTGGAATAGTAACGGCCCGGGCTAACCAGGGAGATAAATAAGAAAATAGGATTAGAGCGTCTGCGAGGAAATAGATGAAATTACCAGCATACCCCAACATCTTGCTAGATTGCAAGAAAAACGTGCCAGAGGATCGGGGGCAAAAAGGCTTGGGAGAAAAATAAATTTTGACCAATTTTCAAAAAGAGTGACATCGCATTTCTGGCATTGTCTCTACTTTGAAAATATGCAATCTTGCACGTTGTCATAACAAATGAGAACGTGCATAACAAACGTGTCTCCTATGCAAATTGATGCATAACAAAGAAAGAATCATACTTTCATATCATTCAGGGGGGAAGGGTAGTACAGATACACACGTATTAGAAATAGTGATTTCAAGTAGAAATGCAATATTAGCATATTCCTACGAATCATCAGAAAGAAGCAATTGCAACATTTCAACTCAAACAATTTAATGACAGAAGTGAAAAACTAGTAATATATTGTCATTGCTTGAAGGCCCATTTCTTGTTTGTAGGTCAAATTATATATATTTTTATAGAACTTATTACATGTACATTACAATAGTTTGTAGGCCTAAAATTGTTTTCTGGTAGAAAAATCTCAATTTGAGAAACACTGTCTCCCTCCCAAGTTGAAATATGTTGAACAATATAAGGGCTCCAGATAAATTAAAACAAGAACAACCCAACGGAACAAAACAAAACAGACCAAAACAAACAAATAAATTGTTATTAAATAGAAACATGTTTTAGTGGTATGACAAAAATAATTTTGCCCATGGAACCAAAGACACAATTGAGTTCTTTAAACATCCTTTTCTATAAAAACAAGTGCATTCATATACATGAACATATAAAACAATAATACCACAAAAAAAAAAAAAATTACCATAAACACCAAATAACACAAAAGAAAATAAGAAATAAAGATGACAACAACAAAAAACAAAATAGCAAACACACAAAAATGAACCCAAAGAAAGAAAAAGAAAAAAACAAACACCAATAATGTATCTGTGATGTAAATGGTCATAAAAACAATCATGAATACATAAAAACATTTAACTAATCAATAAAAGTAGTAAAAATCATTAAACATGCCTAAAAAACCCACATGTTTGAATTACAAATTAATATATTAAAGGGTATCAGGAAATGGGTACACTTACGTGAACATTGTGAATATAAAATACGCTTGTTTCCTAAATGAACGCTCTTCTTTTGTATCTCCCCCAATTTTACTTTTCTAACTTTCTCCATCGAAACAAGACATATTCGTATGCATCCTGCGCTAAAATATATTCACTGAACTGCACTACTTCCAATGTGCTGCGTGGCGCGTCTAAGCCTCAAAAGCTGGCCTGCATTACGGTAGCGTTTATTTCGAGCGACAAAGTATTTCCACAAAAATAGTTTCTCCAAATCAAGAGCTCTCCCCAAGAACAGAGGAGTGTGAGAGTGCTGGGTGCAATGCTATAAATGGACAAATAATCTACTTTGAAAGTGTAAAGTTGTGATTGCATGATAAATCTAATACTCTGAGAGGAAAGCAGGATATTTTAATGCCGATTCCACACGGTGTAATGATGAACTTTGCTTGCTTGCTAGAGCAATGGAACTTTTGGAGTACTTACTAACACACAGCTTTTGATTTACATTGTAACTTTTTTGTTCAATTTGAAGAGAGGAAACCAAAATGTCATTTGGCGAGCGGTATCTGAATTTAAAAGAGAAAATCATATTTCTAGAAAGTTCAATTTCTGACCTTTCATATGATGCCCAATCAGGAAAAATGAGCCAGGAATAACAAAGTTCTGTTTGTTTAAATTTCATGCTTGCATTTTCATAATTTGATTAAACGAAATCGTTTTCACTGGCTGCCTGCCGTAGCAACAAACAGAGTTGACAAAAGACTTAACTACGTTTCGTTGACGATCACCCATGCAACGAGTCTTTCGTCTTCTTTGTGTATGGCTGACCGTCAACGAAACAGAGTTAAGTCTAAGTCTAACCCTAACCCTATACTTTAGATAAAACAAAGCTTAGAGCAATGGTCGCTGCAGCAAATGTCGGACAACCGACGTGGCACGAAAATCATGGACATGCTATATTTTGATGCCTGTCATTCTGACGCTATCCAAAGCTCCTAACCAGTTGGATTTACACGTTTACTAAATATTTGGACTCCATGAATCTCCAAAATAGTGGAGGAATCAACTAAGAAGAAGAAGCTTTATAATTCATACTTACTTTACAGGTGGCAAAATATACATCCTCATTAAACTGGTAGGCTACAAGGTTCTGTTCATCAAAACTTGATGCTGCTCTAACGAACATCATCCAACTACACGTGCTTTCATCGTTGATGTCTAGCGATGCCTTGTCCTTTCCATCCTTGTCAAATATCTGTGAATTATACAAATGAAATAAGAATGTTATTATTAGATGTTAAAGATAAAGTTGAGTTCTGGTCCTGCAATTGCATTGTGAAAGAAACATTGTGGAATCGATCAGAAAAGGTTGATCATCTAGCATATATTAAATTATCGGTGTGTACTGCAAGGTTCTGGAATCATTAAAATGATAAGAAATTTGGCCCAGTCTTGGTAAAGTTACAAGCACTGTGCCCAGAAAGTATGTATATACTATAATAATGTATATGGGACTACATGAACATGTGGCATAAAAATCTGTCCCGCTTTTCATGATGTAACATGCCATATTTAGAATATCAAGGCATTTAAAGAGCCATGCTTTTCAGGGAACATTTTTCATCTGATGTTCTTTCACACTTGCATAATTACAATGATAATGCTTACAAATTATTTTTCACCTCTTCCCAGAACTCAACCTTCTCTTTAAATTGATATAATGGGATAGAAAAAAATCACCAAGGGGAGAAATGCATGGGTTCCTCGGGTGTTTAATAAACATGATAAGTCACTGAGTTTGAACCACTTTAACTGCCAAAGTTCAGTCTGAAGCCACAGGCAAAGTGTAATTGGGAAGTGTATGTTTGTTAAACCTGACTGCTAATAAAGCATGTGTATACTTGTAAGTTAAAGCAACCAGGGTACCAACGGCTTTGAGTCCTCTCTGAGGGACTTGGTAATGAGGATTAATACCTTACCAAAGGGTACTAGTGCTCAACGGACCTACCGGTTACAAGAATACTGCTCTTCCACTTTTGTAAATACATTTTAGACCCAGTACAATTAGACCCGGAACTACATTCTCGTGGAAAGAAATTGAAAGTGTGGTGACCATAATGAATCAGTGAGTTTTGAAATTTAAAGAGAAGGAAAAAAGAATCGAGAGATAAAAATAAATACAGAAATAAATAGAGAAAGACAAAGACAGTTATCAACTAAATTATTCATACCCTTTGTAAATTTGATGTTTCTTGATAAGAATGATGGGTGGAATGGTTGAAATACGGCCTTTGTTTATTAATTTTACCAGTAGATGATTGTAAGCTTAAATATAGGCCACATCATCAAGAAACATAAATCTGGACAAATCAATTTTTTTACAAACTTACACAAATTACAAAACTTGGTAAGGGTATGAACGATTTAGATGAATGCTGAAAACAGAAAAGGTGATTAAAGATATATAACATACAGCACAAAAATCCTCAATAAACCCCACCATTTTATCAATACTTTATAGACTTTGAGTCATTAAATCTAGAGAAAAGAGAAAAAGAGAAAAAGAGAGAGGAAAAATAGAGAGAAAACTTTCCTCTAGAAACTCCCCTTTATATCAATAATTTCACTTCTCTCTTTTTTTTTTCTCTTTCCCTTCATTTAAAAAAATCACTTTCCTTAATCCTCTGTTCAACAACTGCCTGCGAATGATGATGCTTTTTCGAGGCCTGTTTCTACTTGGACTCGCAGATCATCTAGGTTTCATTGGATTAAGCTATTGGACGGGCTCCAAGCCCCTCGTTAGCTCTCGACATGTGCTCCCGACAGGGTGAGACAAATCCCAACAGGTAGTGGGGAGCGTTTCCACTGCTCGAAAATACACGTACATGTACAGTCAAACCTGTCTATAAAGGCCACCCAAGGGAGACAAGAGAAGTGGTCTTTATAGGCAGGTGGTCTTTAAGTACAGGTTCCTTTAGTACACATTTCAATGAGAAACCATTTACAAGGGAAACAAAAAATATGGTCTTTGTAGACTGGTGGTCTTTCTATACAGGTGGTTACTAAAGCAGGTTTAACTGTCCATACTACTACCAAGAATATGTAGGTGTAGTCAAACCATTACAGAAAGACTGCCAAAGGAGACACAAAAAGCAGTCTTCACAGGCAAGTGGTCTTTACACACAGTTTACAATATATATGTTACAATGAGGAGAATATAATTTCAAGTGAATGAAACATGTGGTCATTAAAGACAAGTGGTTACTGAAGCAAGGGAGTGTTTCACAAAGACTAAGATCGACTTCAAGTTGGACTTAACTATGGCACGTCGTTCATGCCACTGTTTGCTCTCACAATTTACTGACATTGGTCTCTCCAAGGGCCGTACAATTCATGGTCACAAATTTAAATTTTTTGATAATTCATTATTGAAGGAAAAAACATTATCTAATGATCACCATGGTAAGAGCAAACAGTGGTATGAACGACCTGCCATAGTTAAGTCAAACTCAAAGTCGATCTTAGTCTTTGTGAAACACTCCCATGATCTCCAAATTCTCAAAATGTCGTCAGTTCTAAAATACTGTGATGTTATTCCAGACTGCCTTGCAACAAATACCGGAACTGAGTAATCAAACATGAGTATACAATTTATGCTTTAAAAAGGGTTGGGTCTAAGTGGGGCGAGGATGGGGTTAAGGTTAGGATTAAAAATAAAGATTTGTGATGGATGGGACAAAATATTTCCCGTTTTAGAAAAGAACAAAGGGGGGCCCCCTCTTAAGAATGCAGACCGATGGTCAAGCCTTCAGTGTGCTCAAGCCATCAATAAAATGTCAGGTCACGGCCAATTGATGGATTAAAAAAGGGGACACTTTCTATTAAAATGGGCGGATCAGATTAATGTTGGCCTCATCATATCATGCCGGTAGTTGTCTGGTTAGTTTCATCTTCTCCTCATCCTTTGACATTTTGACAACTGATCCTAAACGGCTCCTAATATTACTTTGTAAGGCTGGATTAAAACAAAAAAGGCACTGTGTCAGTCTTTACTATCCTTCAACATTTGGATAACTGACCAAATAATTTTTTTATTTTAATACTTCAAGAAATTGAAAGGCTGAAGAAAAGAAACCCTATGACAGTCTTCTGCATTACAAAGGGGGTGTAACATGAATTCTTTCAATGGTATGACAAACCGAATATGGCCTATTTGATATAAAATAGCTGTTGTTTTGTTTTCAGGATCTGCCAAATTGATTTTTTTCTGCTCTCAGAGGACATATGACTACACGGTGAGAAAGAAAAATGTGCATCGAATAGCCGAATCTACAATACAGGCAAAGAACTTTTGCCTTCTGTTCCCCTAACTCACATCAAATGCTACATGTGGGACTAGAGGGAAAAATGACACATATTTGTTGTTTTTATAAAATGCTGTTTCCCTTCTCCATACCGTTTCCTGCTTACACATATTTTGAACTCTGTCGATCCTAGTTGATGGCTCGGCCATGGAGAAAAAGGGCAGATTTCGGAGTGAGTCATGGGCAACGTCTGTGCCATTGATAACCATGTACAGTTTGGTTTCAACTATTCAAGCACTTTCAACTATTTGGATATGATACTCCATGTATACTCTCCTTGTGTAGAGATTTATCAAATAAACATTCAAATTAATTACAGGATTATATTTTAAACTGTCCCAACTCATTTTTAAACAAAGCTTCACTTGTATTTATTTTCAAGATGTTTGTAATTTTATAGTTTTGTTTTTTGTGTGGTTTTAATGAGTGTATAAATTTAATCGAAAACATGGCTAAGGGGAAATCGATGAGATCAACAACCAATTTGAAAATGAAAGTAAGGGATGCCTGATCTGTCTCAAAAAAAAAAAAATGCAAATTCATTCCAACATCAACATCATCAGCTGACATGAAATCATTCTTTCAACGACGCAATAAAATACATCTAGCAGAAAGCGATAAAGAGATGTTCCGAAGAAAACCACCAACAAATACTTCCTAAGCAATTACCTCTGTGGGCAGAAAGATTTGCAAAAATGATCCGACAATCATCTCTTTAACGCTAATTAGCGCAAATTGAAAAGGGTCGATTTGGAATATGGCTCTGTTTCCGGAGTAATTGTTGCATGTCTCAATTACCGGTTCAGGTTTTGGAAGGGAAGTGAGCCAAGCGCGTCTATTAAGCGGCATTAAACGTGCCGTTGGACGAGGTTGATTTAACGGCATGGACTGGGTGCTAAATACCAGTGTCTGGTAACATTTAATTTGTTCGGTAACTGTCAAAGTCATTGACAAAACTATTAAAGTGTAAAACTGTCTTTAAGAGAAATGTCAGGTTTCATTTGGATCACTGCCCACTGATAGTATTTGCATTTAAAGGTGGCCTTTTTGCATTAATCGTGAGGGCATGTAGCCCTCAACCCCTGCCTATTTTTTTCTTAATATTTGACTACTTTACAAGATGTAAAACATTTCTATCTATTTAACCTTCATAAACAGAAGACATAAACAAAAGTGCCAAAAGCTTACACACCGTAGTGTTCATGTAATTATAACTTCTTATGGGCAAAAATATATATTACAAAATATGACAAAAGCAGATAAGAATGTATGGCTGAACATGATCTATTTTTTTTCTTCAATCAGAAAATTATCAGAGAGAGAGAGAGAGATATATATATTACTTGTCTGTTGATCAACATAGAAATTGAGGAAAACAAACAACGAGTCTGGCGATAGACTACCTAGCGTTCTGGAGTTAATTATCAAGTTAACTAATTTCCCTTTCTATTTAGCAATCATTTCTAGGTTAATACTGCTTATCAGGAGCATCAAATGATTTGACGATAGCTTACAATTGATTGACAGCTACATTTGACCAATTAAAATGCATAAAAAGATAGCATTGAAATAGAAAGTATGCACAATAAGGAATCAATTACAAGAGATTATTTACTAATTGATTATCATATGAAGTAATGCCACATCACTATCCAAATAGTTGTGCTAAAATCATACACATGAACAGTTGCATACTTTCCTTTCATTTCATGTCTTCATAAATTCTTTTTTTGGCAGCAATGTTGGCAAGCTCGCACATAAAATAGCATGTAAATTACTTCCACCCATACGATTTAAGAACATATATCCTTCTCATTTTCTATTTAAGCGAGAAAACTTTTGGCGGATGAAATTTTAGACATTTATGTCTGTTGGGCCACATAAGGGCAGT